AGAGGATCCGCGTTACTGGAGACAATGCGATACTTCCTCTCTCTCAGCGTGTTCTTATCTAATCCAAGATCTTTTGCGATGTTTCCAACCACAGTCCCTTCCTTTACTTCTTCAGAGATTGAATACCTTAACTGCGCCGACGCCACGCTCCACAAAAGCACCGCAACCAAGCAGCTGATCAAACATCCTCGCACCTTTCCGGGCTCGCGTCTTCTTTGTTCCATGATCAAACCCCAAATCATCCGTAATCCGTCACACCAGCAACTTCCCTTTAAAAACAATATCCAACACGTCCCGATTCGTAAATATGCGTTTCTTTCGATATCTGCAGAAATCAGGGAAGGTGCACAAGCACAGAGACGAACCTTTCAGGATCGAAGTGTGAACGTTATCAAGAGGCGGACCCGAAACGCCAATGATGACGCGCACGTTTAACGCTGACTTTTTACATTACACTGACACCATGCGTTCTATTTCTCAATGTGGAAAATTGAAGGATGCAAGCTGCACAGTGGGTCAATCGTAGATTATTTTTTAGCACCTTCAAACCTCTGAAAACAATATTTGAACAATCGAACATAAAACCTGTTAAAAATGTTACAAAAAACTATATTTCCAAAGATTGCACATACCTACAGTGAGCATTTGTTACTATCATGTGAATTAGTACAATATAGGATATTAGTATCAGAGAATCAAGCCAAACACTTTCAGCAGTATTTAGAGGTGGCATGTCACAGTTCAGTAGGTCTGTGTGATTTTGATGAGGTAATTTTCATTTATTTCCAAGTTGAGTGGTTCTGGGTCGACTTTACCAGGCCTTTCCCATCCGCACACTGTAATTGTTATGTTGCAGAAATGTAAAGTTTACTTTTTCATCACATGGTGATCATGTTTAAGTTCTGACGAGGCACACCAATCAATCAGAAACAAATTAGTTTCCATTCCCATCCCTGAAATGAAAAGGGCTAAGCTCATGTAAAATTTTAATATTTCAAAGGCTGAAATCATCATTAAACAATAAAATTAATACCACAAAAGAGAAAAAGAGCTGCAAGCATTGCTCTTGGCCTGAGACAAATTGCAGAATCTTAAACCTCTGCATGAGGTCGGAATGTTTCTCAAAGAGTGAATGAAAATATTCTCAAAGCCAGAGACTTCAAGAATCATTGCCATTGCCAAAACATAATCCAAAAAGTCATCATTGCATAGAAACACCAAGCCGGCGAATTAAGCAAAATCTCAATCAATGAGACAAAGCTTATGTTTTAGAGACAAACAGCACAGTCACCTCACAATTTCCACTGAAGTAATCTTACCTCTCCAGAAGTCCCTCTTCTGTCAGGCAGCACTAGAGTATTGGCATGGCTTCCTGGGACTATAGTAGATCCTATACTCATCCTGGGTCCAACTAACATGTAGCGTTTGTCTCC